TGCACAACTTCAATAATACAAACCCCTCTGAAACTCCATGGACCTTTACTGGAGCACTTAAATATTCTGCATAAAATCAATGCTAACCCTGAGCAACAGAGAACTTAAAACTGGAGTATTGTGTTTATCAAACAGGGAGTTTTACTAGTAGATATGCTTGAATCCCCCCAATAAAATAATAATATTTACCAACCTGCTAACTTTTTCATCAGATGTTAATAAAGGAAAAGTGGCAAATCTAGTCATGTAAGTTTCTAGGAATCTGGAAAACTGTTCTGGAAATACAGAACCTGAAGCAATTGAAAATAATCTGATTACTATAGTAAGAATGATAATAACAATGATATATATTATATATAGCACCCTTTTTATGTGTATATAATCGAAGGCGCTTACGGCCATTGTTACTATTAGGTGTAGGCATTGAGGACTGTAAGGATTTCTTTAAGTCCTCAGTGGTTCTTTTATGTCCCTCAACATTTTTTTGGTTAGTAAGAGTGTAGCTGGGACTTGAACAATGACCTCCTGCATGAAGGTCTAATGCTTAACCAACCAAGCTATTCGGGAAGCAGTAAGAAGATTATCAGGTGCATGAGATAGATACTGTAGATCAATAAATTGTATTTTCTGGTATGCATAATTCAAAAGATGAACCCAATAAAACCTACCTCCATAGGTCCTGAGATACTCTGATGCTATTAGTCTTTGAGAGGGATCTTTTGAAATCATATGCTCTACCATTTCCTGGAAAGGAATGAAAATAATGTCTAACTGAATACATACCTACATGCAATGGTATCTAAGCACTTCCATAATTACAATCCTGGAAATACCAGAACCTCACACCCCTAACCATTTGAAACAACACTCTCCCCCTCCCTACTTTCCCTACTGACTGAAAGCAAGGGCTTTCCACTTTCAATATCAAAAAGGCACTGGAACTATGTTTTTCAAAATTGTGCTGTGTAGTTATAGAAATTATCCATACCCCCACCTCCACGGAGGAATTAAAAAAAAAAAATTTTTTCTTACCTCCCTAACCCTAGAAATTCAAATTTTCTTCCATACGTCAAACTCTTTGATTTTTTTTTTCTGTGACCCCCCCCCC